TTTCAATTTCTGTATATTTCTGCTGAAGGGCACAGGTAAATATGACATTTATTATAATGGGTTTATATGAAGATATTGAAGTTCACTTAAATTAGAAGTTATTTTTTAAAATCTAATAAATGTTAAAATTGATAGCTCTCAATTATACTGTAATGCTGAAGGGCTATAGTCAATGGTTAAATATTGGGGGAGGGGGATTTTATAGAGAAATCAGTATTGGTATCATTGATACTGGCCTTCATATATATATATATATGAGCAAGTATTTTAGTTGTATGCCATATCATACATGTTCAGGGTCGATGAAAACATTAGGATGATCTTTATAATGTGAAGCACCGTTCGTCCTCCTGTCAATGGGTCAGTGTTTCATCTCAGCGCTCTCATGTATCTGAAGCGTCATTTCTGCCTGTGGAGATAAAACTGTGTCCACAGATCTGAACAGATGTAATTATGAATCTGCTCTCCAGAGGACGAATAACAGCCTCCACATGCCTTTCAATCTATTCATCTGCATAAATGTCAGCCAGAGCACAAACTAATATCCGACTCGCTGTCACGCACATTAACCCTCCACAGAACCGAGAACAGATCACAGATGAGCGTGACAGAAACATCCATGATGACAGGCCTGATCTCCACTAACATACAGAAACATAATTATGCAGGTTACTAAACACTGATGTATAGCTGTGAATCACTATGTCATCATCATATCCAGTGACCTTCAGTAATTGTTGAGTATGGAAGTCTGGACAAAAATATGTTTTGGGTGTGTAATGTCATTGTTGTTTACATGTTTATTTATGTTTGTTCATATAACGCAGGGACTCCCAAACGTTTTTGTCAGCCAAACCCCTTAAAATAAAATATTTACTTGAAATATCTGTGAGGAAGTTAATATTCAAAATAATTTAACAACACATTTGCATGTTCACAGTTGTCTGCTAATGGTCATAGTGACATGCAGGTAAATAAATAAATAAATAAATAAATAAATAAATAATATTTTTAGTGTTCAAATTATTTTTATTTTATATTTTTATTATTGCATTAATTAATAGCTATTCAACTCACTATTCTCTCGCAATCAACTCACTAATGTAATGTTTAATGCATTTTATGATGTTGATATAAAAAATATGCATTTTCTTTCTCTTTTTTTATATCAATATGGTTACTTAACAAGTTCAATTAAAAAAGTAATCTAAAAGTAATCTAAAAAGTAGTAAGAATGCATTCCCTAAAATGAACAGCCTATATGTTGCTACAATTTTCATCATGTAGTCTTTAATCAGTAATGGACTACAATTAGCTCTGGGAACATTATTCATGAAATCGTTTTTTGCAGCCAGGTGAACCTCTGTCCATCTTTACCTCTGAGAATCTCTGCCGCTCTAAACTCGTATTATACCCAATCATGTTACTGATCTGTTGCCAATTAACCTGAGTATTTGCAAAATGTTCCTCCAGTTGTTTCTTTTTAGTAACACATACTGTACTTTACACCTAACAAAACTTTTTTGAGATGTGTTGTGCCTATTGAAATTCCAAATTACATTATTTATTTTCCTTAAAATGGTACATTTCACAGCACATCCTGTGCGACAGCAGCATGTAAAGGCTCTTATGCAATCAGAGAGCGTCAAGGCTCTATCATTTCATCTAAACAGACAGATAGATAGATAGATAGATAGACAGACAGACAGACAGACAGACAGACA